CTGTGGCAGCCTTTCATGCTGCCCAGGATGGAAGAAAGGCTGCTGGGAGAATCACAGACTTGAGTGACAACACAGAGTGTATGGAGAGGCTGTGACACCAGTGCAGGGCTGCCCGCCAGGGTGTTATCTGTGCTCATGCTAGGGCTCCTTCCCTGCCTGCTCCTCTGCTGACATTCTTCTGTCCTTTATCACTGATGCTTTCGCTGCCCCATCCTGTCACTGTGTGCGCTAGGGTCATGTAAGGATGAATCAAAGGCAAGTGGCCTGTTCCCAAGCCCCCAGGGGCTTCTGTGTAGGGAGTCAAAGGCCCAGGACCCATTTCCCTCACACAGTAACCGCAAAGGTGATGTGGCCAGACTCGGGTCCCACACTTGCAAGACGCTACAGCCCCCTGTGCCTGGGTCTTTGACTCCTGCTCAAAAGGATTTTACAAGCATCTGAAGCGCATTCTTGACCCTATCCAGGGCCGAGGACATCTCTAGAAGGTCATGGGCCCCCAGATCATGGCTCTCCCCCCAGCTGCCAGTTCCCCCAGTAAGGTAATAGAGGATTTTGGTTCTGAATTTAAAGATATAGTTGACGTTGCATTGAACACTACACTTGGTGGTCTTCTCGGAAGAGCCCTGATACACACCCTGTCAAGTATGTGTTCAAAAAGTGAAAGGAACCAAGTTCAAGGCTGTGTTTCCAAGAATTGCAAGGTATGCTTTCTACCGGCAGGCACTTTTTGGGTGCCTTTCTCCACTTGTCCAGCAGAGGGCATGGCTGTACTCTTTTTCCTTTGGTCCTAAACTTGCCTGTGCCTTACCCTCTCACTCCATTCCATTGGTTCCCGAGTTTGGCAGGGACAGCAGCTTGAGACATTTCCTCTAAGTATCTGGAGTTTGCCGGTTGGTATATCAAGGGCTAAGAGGGGTGATGGCCACTCAGCTCAAGAAATTCTGGAGCCTGCACTCCCAGAACGGGTGTGGTGGAGTGGACAGGGCCGTGGGCATTCGCTCACTGGCCCAGACCGCCCAGCTTTATTTACCAGGCACTGATAACGTGCCAGGCACCTGTTTCTGATGTCTCCGATAAACAAATTGATAGACACCTTTGGACACAGCCCAAGCCTGGGTCCATCAGCTCTTTGGGATTTCCAGGGTGCCGAGGTCCTCGGGTTGGGGGACTAGTGGGCTGAGAGCGAGAATGCTGCAGACCCCAAACGACCCATCGATCCACCTCAAAGTCGGCCTGGGCTCAAGGGGAACAACCGCTCACCCACTGCTGTGCACCCTGGATGCCTCTTCCACGTTCAGCCAGACAGCAGCGTACCTGCAGGAGCAGCTCCCCACCAGTGCTGGCTTAGCGCTTGACATGCGGGATGTGGCCAGTGGGTGCCGGATGGGTCACGCAGAGCAGTTGTGGTCAACACAGTAGTTTTGACCAGGGAGGGTGGGGGAGGGAGAGAGAGACAGAAGGGGGGAATTGGCAGCCCGTAGAGGGCATGAGTGGAGCGAGTCTACTGGCCCTCAGCCAGGGCCCTTCCCACCATGAGCCTGGTGAGCAGCTTCCTTGACAGTGCCAGGGACGTTGAGGCCAGACCACAGGCCTGGCGTGGCCCTCGGAATGCCCTCCTCTTCCTTTCTGCCCCGCCCAGTCCCTTCTCTACCCTCTCAGCCCGAGATTCCAGCACATACACTCCACTGCCAACACCAGGCTCTGGTCACTTTGACCCCGCCCCCATATCTGGTTAATCATGAGAACATAGAAAGCTCTGGATCCAACTCCCCATATCAGTCTGTCTCTAGCCTACTGGGACACGGATGCAGCCTGCTCAGCCTGGCCACCGCCCACAGCCCTCTCCTTCCTGAAAGGCTGCCAGCCTCCGATCCTCTTCCCTGCCTCCTCCCTGCTTCCCTGGGCTCTTCCCCAAGAGCAACCCAGGGTTCTGTGGGCGGGGGGAGGGAGGGAGAAGGAATTCTGACCTAGGACAGGAAGGTGGTCTCTCAGGATGCTTCCATCTGGTTTGGGGCACGTGACACCAGGCTTGCAGGTGATTTTTCTCAGTATGTGGTTGATGGTACCTGAGTAGCCCCAGACCCAAAGCTCAGGCTGGACCTGTAAGTACTTCAAACAATAAGGCTTTATTCAAATCATGTACATATCATAAAACTCACTCACTTCAAGTATGCCATTCAGATGGCCTCAGTATATATACAGAGTTGTGAAACCACGACCATAATCAGTGTTTTAGAACTTTTCAAACATTTCAGGCATTCCCTCAAAGAAACACTGTACCCACTAGCAGCCAGCTCTGCATTCTCCTCCCTGACCCAGGATCCTAGGCACCCATACTTTCTGATTGGATGGCCATTTCAGACAGATGGAATCCAGGGATGTGTGGCTGTTTGTGCGGAGTCTGCGAGGGCTCATTCCTTCTTATGACTCCTTCCGGTTCACAGGTGAGAACGGCCGCATGGCACTTCCCATCTGGTGAGGCTCAGGAAGTTTGGTTGGTTGAAGGGGGTTTTGGAAGAGCCTGGTGCCCCTAGCAAGGTGCCTGGCTGAGGACACACCCTGTAGATGTTTACAAAGATTCATGGGACTCTTTGAGGCAGGAAGTGCCTTGGACAGGTCTTCCACACATGCCAGGGGCTCAGGGTGGCCTGAAGCTGACTGACTTTAAAGGCCAAAGACTCTGTGCAGACCCTAGAAGGACAGTTCGATTGAAATAATTCATACACCATAAAGCACACTCATTTGAAGTGAGAAATGGAGTGATTTTTAGTACATTTTCAGAGTATATCTGCCTACAACCTACCTGAAACCTTTTACTTTTTGTTGATCAGTAGAGATGGGATTTCTAAATTGCATTTAAGTTTAAACTGTTTCTATTATGGAATACTGCAAACGCTAGAATTAATATAATTAGCAGTTTCATCCCTACCTAGCTGTAACAAACCACAATATTTTGCTAAGGTATATTTTAGAGACATAACCCATGGCTCTAATTTCCCGTCTTCTGCCTCCCATGGCACATGAGCTCGGATGGATGCTTGGTACGGCCCTCACCCACCCACAGGTGAGCATAGCAGGAGAGGGGCTCTGCAGCATGGCCCCTCTAGAAATGGGGAATCATTTTCTTGGCGCACACATGATGTACCCTGGCATACTGGCTTCCACAAAACACTCCTTCTGTCCTTCCTTGTTCTGGACACAGCAAGGAGAATGTGCCTGATGGTCTGACTTCTATGCTGTGAATCCTTTTCACACAGGGAATGAGTGTGACATCTCAAGCACCCCAGGGCCCACTCTGTCCATCTGTGTGCCTGACAGGTCTGGGTCAACTGAAGCTTCTGTGGGTGGACCTGCTGGGTCCAGTCCTTGGATGCGGGGCTGAGATGTGTGCTCACCTTTCCTTATCTCTAAAGGCAGATGCCACAGCAGCTCTCGCCTGCTAGATCACTGGCAGGAAGAAATGACACATCTAAGCACTAAGCACGGGGTCCAGGACTGGGCACGCACCATCTGCCCAGCTTGTGTCTGTGTTTGGAACCTCCCCCCCCCTTTTCTAGCAGTGCCTGGATGGCATTGCCAGCCATGATTATTTATTTGGCCATCTATGGCTTCTTGGAGACCACTCAGCCTCATCTCCATTCTTTCCCGGGAGACCCATGGCCAGAGGTACTTCTGGTGTTTGCTCACCTGGCTTTCCTGATGCTTGGCACATACTAGACTCCTGTGGGTCTTTTGAATGAATGTCTGATTGATGGGACAATGATTGAATGGCTCTTTTCTCTTACTTAAGTGACTGTTGGTAGGAGCCAAAGCTCATACACAGCCAGTACCTCCTTAGCTCCCCATGTCCCTGTTCTGTTCTTGCATTTAATTAGCCACCTTAATTGGGACACCTTGTGTCTTAGACTTGGATGATGGCAGCCTCGGGGGAGTCCCAGTCCCTGTTGTGCTGTGGTCCACAGGGGACCTCATCTGAGCTCTGCACGGGGCGGGGGGGGGGGTGTTGGTGTTGAGGGGCTGGACAGGGTCAGCTCCTCCCATTGTGTCCCAGGATCTCCAGGGCCCGCTGCAGCACGGCCCCACTCCCTCTCCATCCTGGGCTCTCGCTGTTGGGGACAGGGTGGGGGAAGGGGAAACTGGTGTCCCCCTCTCAGCACCGTCCCCCCCATGCTGAGGCTCCTCACCCCGCTCCCGGGACCCTTTGATGGGCTGCAGCTCCGTACTGCTCCTGTCGGAGGGTGTATGTCGCCAGACCCATGGCACCCGCAAGAAGGGCAGGGCCAGGGACTCGGCCTTCCAGGGAGCTCGCCCTCGGGGTCTCCTGGCCTGCTCTGCGGGGGGAGGAGGCCTCAGGGGGAGGGGGGAAGGGGCCGGCCTGGCGGGGTGGGCGCCTGAGGCGGGGCCGGCCTCGCCCCCCACCCCCTGCCTGCGGTCCAGGTATTCCAGACCACGCCCATCGCCGCGTGACGTCACGGCCCTCGCAAAGCACGATGGGAGAATCCTAATGTTTTCCAACAGATGCTCCAAGAACAGCTTTCAGATTCAAGCAACTGACAGGGCAAAGATTCTCCGTTCCGCCCGTTTTCTTCCCGGGGGGGTGGGGGGTGGGCGGGGAGGGAGCCGTGCCCAGCCACCCGCGGACACCCCTCCGACCCCAGCACGCAATAAACACTGGCGAGAAAAAGTTTTCATTTCCTGGTTCAACTTTTCTTTTTCCTGGACTGTAGACTGAAGATCGGGGATACACTCGACTCAATACCCCGCGAGGCCGCGCACGCCGGGATGCGCCCGGCGGCCACCCGCTCGCCCATTGTTTCCCCGCCCCGAAGCCAGCCCGCGTCCTCGCCCGGCCGTCTCTTCTCGGGCCCGGCTTTCCTTTCCCCGTCGGGTTGGAGGACGCCCCTCGGCCCCTCGCCGTGACCTTGGCCGCCTCCACGCCGATGCGCTGAGCGCGCGCCGCTCCCTCTAACTTGGCCGGCGCCGCGCGCGCCGCGGGGCCCATGGCCGCGTCCGGGGACGAGAGCAGCTGCCTGTGTCGCGGGGCCGCTCGCAGAGCGACCCCAGCGTCCTCGCCGACGCCAGCGCCTCCGCGGACCCCCGGGAGAACCCAGGTAACAGCGGGGGCGGCGGGGCGGGTGGGGGAGGCGCGGCCGGAGGCGCGGGCACCGGGTCCGCGCGGGCGCGGGGCGCCGCGTTCCGGGAGCCGCGGCCCACGCCGGGCGCCGGGCCCGGCGGGCCCCCATCCGCGGCTTCCATCCCCGCGGCGCGGGGTGCGGCGGAGCCCTTTGTCCGGGAGAAGCCGGCGGCTCCCCGACTTCCGGGGCACCCTGCGGCGCCTGCTGCTCCAGGCGGCTTCGCGGTGTGTCCCCCGCGGAGGGGCTGACCGCCCCGGCCAGAGGCAGACGCCGGCCGCCTCTGCCCGACGCCCCCCAGGCTGGGGCCCCCGGCCCGGCCCGTTGCCCCGCCGCGCGGAGCAGAGCCCTGCCCTGCGGCCGGCACGCCTCCGGGCTCCCGACTGGGCTGGAGCGGGGCCTGCGCGCCGGGCGCACCCGCCGCCCCGGACAGGTGTGCGGGGCAGAGCTCCCCGCGGGGCGCAGGGCGTGGGCCCGAGCGGCCTGCCGGGATTTCACTCTGTGCATGCGGCCACTCCGCCGCCCTCCCTGGCAGCGTGGATCGTGTAGGTGATAACCGGTCACAAAGGCTTCTGTATGGCCTGATTGATGACTTTCTAGCGGGGAAGAAAGGCCTAATGGGGAGGGAGGGGGTGGGCTGTGTGCCGCCCCGTCACCATGGAGACGCAGGAAGCAAAGTGATCATTAAAACCTTTTTCTGCCAGAAGGCAATTTTCACTTCTTAGGGAGAAGTCTGAGCTTCTGAAATGTATCTTTCAAAAATAAAAAGAATCAAAGCTGGTGTTTTGGAGTCCGTGCTGGCTCCTGGTGAAGCACAATTCATCCAAAGATGCTGCCCTTAGCAAGGGCCCCCTTCCCCTGCGGACTTCTACCTCCGTGCCTCCCGGATGGGGCTGGGGATGCCCCGCACCCCGTGTCCAAGTGCAGCCAACCTAGGGCCTGCTTGTGGGAAGAGATTTCCCCAGTCTCGAGACCACACTGGAACGGCCCAGAAAGGCCCACTGAAGTCGGCTCAGCGGGTGCCAAGCCCTACTTGAAATTTCAAACAATCAACCCATGCAAGCCTGCTGAGACATCTTTGTTAGGAACAGTGACACTGTGTCATTGGGTCCCACTAAGGTGCTGGCTGGAGGAAATCCCTGATTTTTTCCTCGTGGGAGGACAAGTGAATTTCCTTGGAATTTCTAGGAGAGACTGCCATCATAGACCCTGGAGGAATTAATTAATCCTTCTGTTACTAATTGGGGACTAAGCACTCTTTGATGGATTGGTTCTCTCAGCGGTGGAGATTTACTTCCATGATTGTTCCAAGTATGGAAGTTGAATGACTCTCTTTTCTTTTCTCTCATTACATTTCTTTTCTTTTATTCTTGTGCTGGTAGCAGGGCTTGAACTCAGGGTCTGGGTGCTGTCCCTGATCTTTTATGCTCAAGGGCTGGTGCACTATCATTTGACCCACAGCTCTACTTCTGGCTTTTTGCGGGTTAGGAGTTTTAGAGATAAGTCTCAAGAACTCTTCTACCCAAACTGGCTTTGAACCAGGATCCTCAGATCTCAGCCTCCCAAGTAGCTAGGATTGCAGGGTAAACCACCAGTGCCCAGCTGTTTTGAATGGCTCCTGAAGAGATATTTCTCCCCATCACCCCTTTTGTCTCTCTAGCAGTGAAAGGAAGCGAATTTGAAATGGAAATTATGGAGGACTTAGCTTTGGGCTGTGAGTGGATGCTCCATGGGCACAGGTGGCTGTGAAGGGTTTGGCAGGTGTCTGTGGCCTGTGCAGAGGGGCAGAGGAGGAGGATGCCAGGATTAGGTTGTACCCTGGCAGGGGCCACACTGGAGTTCTTCTCTGGATCTAGCAGTCAAAATGATAACCAGAGAGTAGATGCCAGAGTTGAAAATCCAAGCTGCATATAAAAAAGTCCATGCCAGACAGGCCTGTAATCTTAGCAACTTCAGAAGGCGGAGATCTGAGGACAGTGGTTTGAGATCTGAAGATAGTGGTCTGAGCCCAGCCTGGCTGAGCAGGAAAGTCTTCGAGGCTCTTATTTCCAATTAACCACTAATAAAGCCAGAAGGGGAGCTGTGGATCAAGTGGTAGAGTGCTAGTCTTGAGGAAAACCAAAACAAAACAAAAAAGCTCAGGGACAGCACCCAGACCATGAGTTTAGGCCTGGGGACCAGCACCAAAAGAAAGAAAGGAAGAATAAATAACTGTGAGTTGTAAGGCCTTATCAGAGGGGCTTGGGAGTTTATAAATTTTGTTTAGCAGAGGAGTTGTGGTAGAAGTAGAGAGACTCTAGGTTGGAAGCTTCCTAGGGTCTTGAGCTAGCCCAGTAGGAAAGCTGGGTCTGGAAAGCTTGCACCCCTCTGTTGGTGGGACTCGCTCACTCCTTTGTGATGCATGACGTGCTTATCTTGAACAGGTGCAGTTTTAAACTCCATTCAAGTGGCTAGGAAGAGTCCCCCGCCCTCGCACTGCTTTGGCCCTTTCTTACAGTATGTGGCCCAGGCATTCCCAACAGTCTGCGTTTGGGTCAGTTATTGCAATACTCTCAGTCGTTTGTCCCCTAGATAGAGAAGTCTGAGCCTTGACCTGGCCTTCCAGGGCTTTCTCCGCCCCCCTCTACCAGCAGCTCTAACTCAGGACTCCAGCTCCGAACCCAGCTCTCCTGCTGGGCCATACAGCCAGATACTAAATAACTATGCAAGAACCACTAGACACTATCTCTATATGACATAGTTGCATTTACCCTTCCCTGCAGTATTTTTAATATCATTTTATTGTTAAGGTGAAGGTTTTGTCCAGAAGGGTTACCATTTTACAACTCAGGGGATGTGGATGTTTGTGTTTTGGACAATGTCACCCCTTCCTTCACTTAACACATTGATTTTCTCTTAGCCCCAACTCACAGCATTCTTGGGAGGTAGAGTAGGCTTTGGTGCCTCACTCTGTCTTTTCAGTGCTGCCCCTGGTAGGAGTTTAATGTCCCTGTTCTGGCTTTCCCTCCCCATTTATGCAGCATACAGGACGTCCCGTGTACGAGCCCCGGGCAGGTGGCCGGGGGGGGGGGGGGGGGGGGATGGTGGTGGTGAAGGGGACTCGCCACTCTGCCCGTCTCCATCCGTGGTCTCCATCCGCTCCTTCCTCTTAGCAGCCACATGCTCCACAGCATAGGTATTCCAGCGTAGCCAGCAGGTGTTCATGTTCCGCTTTCTGGCTTTAGCCCCATAGAGATCACGTGGAGATGAGCGCCTGGGCCTGGACTGTCTTGGGATCACTGAGAATTTCTTCTGGGTAGATGCCGGTGGTGGTTAGGATGTCTGCCTCGGGGGACCCACATTGTGGGTTGTACCTTCCTAGAAAGCAGACGCCTTGGCACTCCCTCCAGGATCTGAAGTAGCACCCTGAGATCACAGGACTTTGCTCTAGCAGGAAAGGTGATAAACGGTGTCGTGTAAACCTTGCGCCCCGTGCCTTCCTCCTGTGTGGAGCGTGGACTGCCTGGCAGCCTGCGCTCTCCCTCTCTGTTGTTCTAATGGGGTCCTGTGGGTGCCTCTCTGTGTCCCATGGCCTTGTTTAAAATTGAAAGTCCAAACAGACATCTGATGGCTTTCTCCTCCTGTGGAGTTCCTGCTAACCAGGGGACTCTCCCTCTCTCCCTCTCTCCCTCTCTCCCTCCCTCCCTCTCTCCCTCTCGCTGCCCCTGCCCTGGGCCTGGGCCTCTGCCCGCTGTATGCCACAGGCAGGCCCTGACACTGGCCTTGGAAGGGGCAGCGGCAGTGGTGACCCTTCCCGTTAGGTCTCCTGTGTCATCTCCACCCTGCCATGGACCCCTCCTCTGATGTGTGCTGCCCTCTTGGCTTCCTGGTCTGCGGTGCCTTTCCTTTTCCCAGGGTGTCCTGTCCAGCGGGCCTTGCCTGCTTCGTCCACTCCAAGGGGCTTGGCTGTCTTCTTGGTCCCCACACCCACACGCCAGGACAGTATTTCGTGAACCGTTGTTGGCAACACTGGGGCGTGAACTCAGAGTATGGTACTTGTCAGGTAGGTGCTCTACCACTGGGCCACACTGTCAGCCCTGCTTTTTTTGTCAGTTGTGGGGCTTGAACTCTAGGCTTGGGTGCTGTTCCTGAACTCTTTATCTCAAGGTGAGCGCTCTACCACTTGAGCCACAGCACTGCTTCTGGTTTTCTGGTGGTTTATTGGAGGTAAGGGTCTCACAGACTTTCCTGCCTGGTCTGACTTTGAACCTCGATCCTCAGATCTTAGCCTCCTGAGTAGCTAGGATTATAGGCGTGAGCTATTGGCGCCCTGCTCTTGGGAGATGGGTTTTTGCCATTTGCCAGGCAGGCACATAGATGACAACCCTGCTAGTTTATGACTCCCATTATGTGTGTATGTGTCACTATGCCCATTTTCACTCCATCAATAGCCTCTTGGGCTTTCCTACCCAGGCTAACCTTGAACTATGATCCTCTTTATCCTAACCTCCCATATAAGGATGGTGATAGACACCCTCCACTGCATCCCCGCTTTTGGTTGAAGAAAGCTCTTGTGTGCATACCCCAGGCTGGCCTCTATCTGCGATCCTTCCAATATCAGCCTCCCAAGAAGCTAGGATTACAAATGTGAGTCATTGTTTAATATGGGCAGCCATCACTGGCCTCTGGAAGCAAACACGCCCTTCCCCCTCCCAGAATTTCCATCCCTGTGCTGAGCCTGTGCCCACCCCCCACCCCGGACTGTCTTGAGTCTTCCTTCCTTCCCCTGCCCCCTGCAGAACAGACATTTCCGAACATAAGAACCGGTCTGCACTCTCCTTTGTGCCCAGCCCTTGAGGGATATCTCCAACCCATGGGTAGGCAGGTGGCCAGGGTAGACACAGCCACTGCCCTTGTCCAGAGTGGCTCTTTCTATGTGTATTTCTGGAATGTTCTGTTACTCTGTGGAGTCCCAAACTTCTCTCTCCTGGCCCCTTGTG